TTTTTTAGTTATTGCTTTCTGTATTTTGCTGTTTTGACGCCTTCTTTAGAAGAAGGTCACACAATTAAAAAGGGAACTAACACTGAATCTCTGACTCAAAGACCCCCTGCTGGAAAATGAGGGCTAAGTACTGTGCTCAGTGGTGGCCCTGAGCTCTCTAATTGCCTTGTACAGAAAGAGCGAAGGGACTCAACTGGTCCATACAGAGAGCTGCGGGAACCCTCATTTACTCCTTCATTAAATATTTACCGAGCACCCACTCCAAAACAGGTGATGTGGTCCAATGGCAGACAGGGAAGAAAAAGTGTATCCCCTCAGAGCCCCGAAAGATCCCTGTGGCTCTACACATGCATGCCAGGGACATTCTTCTCTATGCCAGCTTCACAAATCATGGAGTTGTTCACAAATCTATGACTGAAAAAAAAAATGTATGGCTGGTCTCTTCTTGGGTTTTGTATGTGTTTAGCGAAACTCTTTCTAATTCATAACTCTCTCTTCCTAAACTATGTAAGAAAGAAATTATACACTTTAATTCTCACAAATATTCGGTGCATATTCACAGAGAGCCAGCTTCAGGAAATACATTTTGCAAAACGACACTTGTCAGCAAGAGCACAAGGGCTGGTTTATGCTTTGCATAAGCACCACCAAAGGAGGCTAATTAATATGCCCAATGCTCATTCCTAGGTATTAACACTGGCCCATGTGCTTGCTTTTTGGTTACTATGTACATGGATTCTGGCACACACTTGTCCTGTCCTTGCCACCTTTAATACCAGTACCAACAAAATGCGAAACTCCTTTGGTTTCTATTTTTATTCAGTACATACATAAAAGGTACATAATTCAGGCTGTTACATATATGACTTCAGACTGAGCAAGGGGAAGAACAAATGATTCCAAGTAGCATATCTAAGTGATGAAAATTTGGAAGTTCAGAACGCTGCTTACGTTATTTCCTTGTCTTGACTAATGCGGTGTTTTACACTATGAAAATTTTGCACTTCCTAGCTTCTAACGCTTCCATTAGCACTGAGTTTTGAGAGTCCAAGGCAAATGCTGCGAAAAAATTCAACTTCCTTCTTGCACGTAGGCAGTGGCAAACATGTCTTTATTAGAGGTAGGCGAAAGAGCTCTATATTTCTCAAAGCCTTTCCCTTTAAATTATTTCTGGTACAGCTTGAATTTGAGTTCTGCCTCTGACTTGCTAAGGGCTATTTATGATTTATTTCAACCTTTCGCTGGCTCTAGGAAAAAAAAAAAATGAACTAAGTTGAAAATAAAGAAGAAAAGCTTAATCCTCATGGATATCCAGTGGCAGGGAGCACCCTGACTCTGAGGATAGGTGCATTGTTCAAATTTGGATACTTTCATTTTTTTCTTTGAAAAATAAAATTAAAGCCATTCATCATTTTTAATTAGAGAACAAGTGCCATCATTTTTTAAAGGAATAAATTTCAAGCTGTGAGTCTTTTAATGTAGACTGGTCCTTTGAGACTTTTCTGCAGTACTATGGGGAAATTTTAAACCCAGTCAAATATTTTTCTTAGGAAAAGTGGCAATAGGTCATGGTGAGATATGGGTGTCATTAAAATTTCACAGAGGTCTGTAACGCACCAGAGTCACCATAACATTGACACACAGACTATAATATCTGTAAAGAAGCATTTGCTGTCCATCATGACTCTGAGGGAGTGCTTACACACTATCAATGTAATAATCTGCATATTAAAATGTCTCTAAATATATATTTACAAGATAGATCTGTTTTGGTCTACTGGGTCAATAATCCACACCCTAAACATCCCTAAATATGTATTCACAAGATAAGCAGATCAGCTTTGGTTCACCAAGTCAGTCATAAGTAGGTCTTTAAAAAGGTGCCTACCTAGCGGCATAATTCACATTTTAGCAAGTTCAGAAATGCAGTTTATAGACACCCAGTTATCTTTTAATGAGTGCACTTGCTATGATAGTTGCAGGGAACGCTAGGAGCTATGTTTCACTCTGCTCTGTGATATTTTGCTTTTAAAAAGTCAGAACAATCACCATAGCACAAACTTTATTCAAAGTGTGAGGTGAGAAACGGCAGCAGAGTTTAGGCAGGGTCCTTGGGCTGGGGGCAGGTGCTGTCTTTCCAGCTGTCTTAGCCCATCCACTGTCACTACCCAGGCCTGAGCCTGTTCCTTTCCCAAGTACCTCATCTCCCTGCGGTAGCCTTTGCTACCCGCTTGTCTGGCTTGTCCCCGAAGCAGGGTGAGCCTGCAGGGAGTCAGAACCCAGCCCTGCTCTGTGCTAGCGACTTGCCGCGCCCAGGATCCTGTGTACAGGCCTCTGCCCACTGTGACGCAGCTCCTCCCACCCTGGGCTGGCTGCCACTGGAGCACACAGTCCTCTCTTCGCTGCTTTTATGCTCACCAACAGCTCCTTTGCACCTGCTCTTCCTTCTTCCTGGAAGGCCCTTCCGTGTGACTCCGTGTGTTACCTCTCATCTCTCCCGAGAGATGTGTTTGATCATCATTTATAAGAACAGCCACATCTTGTCCCAACACCATGAATTTCGCTTCTCCATTACTCACCCTGACCGACCTCCATTGGCACTTAGCACCATTTCCTAGAGTAGGAATTTATTTGTTCATTGTCTATTTCTCTCCCCTTGAAGTTAAACTCCCTAGGGCCAATGTCTACCAAGCCACACCTTGATTAAGTATCTGGTACTTCTCAAATACTCCTTAAATACTTTAAAGGTCTCATGAATGAAAGCTGATGAAAAAGGAATCATCACGCCACCTTGGTTATGAGCTTGGTGTGTGTGTCTATGCTTGGATAGAGGAAGGAAAAGAATCTCTTTCTAAGATGAAGCTCTCTCTGACTGCTAAATCCATGTTTTATGTGATATTCTCTGAGTGACATAAAACTGACCAGGTGCTCGTCTATCCCACCCTAGGACTAGAGGGCTATGATAAAGTTCCCGCAGGAGCTAGCTCATCTCAGCTGGTTGCATCAGCCTGCTTCTCCATGCAGTACAAATTGTGCAAAACATAAAGACATGATCAGTATTTCTGGATCTCCCCACTCACAGAGGTGTCCACAGTAGTCTCTGGTGATGGCAGTGGACCGACCAGATTTTGTAATCTAATCTGATGCAGCTGTGAGGGATGCTGCCTGCTGCCTGTGTGTTAGGGAACTATAGCAAACTGAGGATTATGGGGAGGCTTATTGTTCACTCTTAAATTTGGTAAATTGTTCTTGGGGCTTTCTCCCACATCTCCACACCCTACCTTTCACCACTCTGATGTTCTGATAGGCATCCTTTCTCACGAGGGAGGACTGTCACAGAAAATCCTTCCTTATTTAAATTTCCACAGGAATATTCTTTATTCCAATCACTCAGAAGGGTGCCTTTGGCAACAAAACTCACAGCTGACAGCAAATTAATGCCTCTGATGCTGCGATGAGTTGAGATTACAGGCGACAGAGAGCTTGTCTCAGCGTTTACCACCGCCATCATCTGAATTTTGGCATCTACTAAAGGTTGATATTGGTCAAAGAAGAGGATATGGTTCAGTTACAGTTAACCCTACAGAGTTATAAGGAAATCTGCCTATATTATAATATTGTGATGATAGGCTGAGGATTAAAAGGATTTTTCCTATTAACTTGCTTAGCCTAAATAAGTCTCCCTCCGCTGCCCTCCCCTGGAACATAGACTTATTCTAATAAAGCTTTAGGGCATAAAGTAAAGGAAAAGCCGGAGTGATACCAATAATTCCAGTCTTCAGACCCCAACTGTTCATTCACTGAAAGAAAAGCAGTTTACTCCTGAATAATTTGGATAAGTGACCCAATTTTGCAGTTTATTTTGCATGAATAGATAAAACTTAATGGATATTTCAGTGTATGCCAATACTTGAGTGGATTTACAAAATGGAACTTTTCAATCAGCTTAATGAGTAGCAGGAGTTAAAATATTAACCCAAGTGATAATATTGATAAAACCATCTACTCAGATACAAGGTGTCACTGCACCTCTTTTCAAATTTCGGTGACAAAGAAACAATGATTTCTATAACCGCTAGCAATGACTTTTGGAGGGGGAAGATTTTAAATAAATGCCTATTTGCTTTGGGTGAGCTTCACTGAATTGGCCTTATTTGATTTCAGATCCTCCTAAGGGAAGAGATTGCAGGATTTCCTGGTTGTAAAAGGAAACGAACACTTCGCTGAACTTGTATGACATCATCTGAAGCATTTAAAGGGCAGATAATCATGGGCTGGCTGCCTATTTACCAAAGCTTCCTTACCTCCTCAATCTATTTTATTTCCAAATGTCAAAGTAGTATGAAACCTTTCAAAGATTTGTAGACTGTACAAGGTAGGGAAATATTAGGATAAATCCTCTATTTTTTGTGAGAGCTTTTGAATAATTAGGGGGGCTCTTTGAAATGTTGCATGTTCCCCTATGAACTCTCTAAAATTATACCCTATTACAGCTAAACAGTTTTACAACAAAGGGTAGGAGGCCATCTCGATTTCTAAAATCTCCATAAAACTGCTCATGAGAGTACCTACCTGAGTCACAAATAAAGGCAATATGGAACTGGAAGAACTAAATATAATAAAATGTACTCTATCAACTAAGATCATAGTACTGTACAGTGAATGAGACATAGTCAGCATAATCTTGGTTTTACAAATAACTTCCTTTCCAAATTCAGCCTAGAAATTGGCATACATTAAAAAGAAGTATGCCCACTGCAAAATAATCAATCAAAAGCAGCAAAAACGTGAGCAAATTATTTTTAAGCTTATAAAAATATTTGCCAGTTCATTTAAAAGCCTAGAGACAAACAGCTGAAACAAGTACTAAACAAAAGATCTTTTCCTGATATGTAATAGGTGAGATATTTCTTACAGTAACCAATCGGTCTCTTTGTTATGCAGAATTCCTCAACTGTAGCTTCAGGAAGAGACAGGAGGAGCTGTGGAATCGGTCTTACCTCGTATTCAAAGTCCTCTGTTCTGTCTGCATCTGCAGGCAGGCTGGAAAGGTACTCGTTGTCCTCATAAAATTCATGCTCCGCCGGATGAAGAGAATGGCAGCTATAGGGAATGAAGCAATATGATAAGGATGAATCAGAAGTGTTGTTTTCCAGGACTGAAGATTTTATAATCTCCCTGCAGTTTTCTCTGCTCTGGAAGAAGCGATCTAAGGACTCCAGATTTAAGAGTTCAGAAGAACAAATTGCTTTTCTCTCTTCTCCATCAAATCTATCAATTTGCTCTTTCTGGGCAAATACCATGGTCAGAGTTGTACTCTGTGAAGGGACTGAGGTAAAGTCTTTTTCAGTCCCAGTCCATTGATACCCTCTGGCCTCTTCTAGTCCCCAGAATGTGTGGCGTTTGACACTCTGGTCTCCCAAAAGGGCCCGCTTTGGAGCAAAGCACAACCAATTCCAAAACCCACTGCCCAAACAGTCTTGGAAAAGTCCATGGCCAAGACCCATAATTTTCAGACTCTACAATGTACATACATTATCCCCTGCTCCATTCTGTAAGATCCCCGTACCCATTTCCCTCACAATGCTCATCTCCCCTCTTTGATTCAGGATACATAGACACATAGTAATTAGCATTCATGGCAACAACTTATTGGAAATTCCTACATGCTACAAAGTTTCGTGGTTCTTTTAGTAAATTCCCAGGGATAGAGAGAAGAGGTTCAGCAAAGCAAAGGAGGGGAACTTTGGTGTGGATTTTACCCATGCTTTAACCTTTAGAAAATGTTTAAAATAACTTATAAAAGTGATCTTTGAGTTACTATATATTATACTATATATTATACTATAGGAAAGCTAAGCACAGTTTAACAACAGCAAAGAACATAATTCCATTTCTATAAAAGGCAGTGAAAAATCCTAAATACAAGAAGTTGGTGGTAGGCATGTCCTCTAAGCCCTGTCACTGTGGAGGTTATTAAAAACTGGAGTTCCCTTTTTACAAGTTGGAGAGAGATAAGGAAAGAGAGAGAGACAGAGAGAGAGACAGAGAGAGAGAGACAGAGAGAGAGAGAGAAAGGCTGAGTACAATCTATGGCTGTTGGTTTTAGGTAGGGTTAAGCAACATGAACCAAAATATCAAAAGCAGTAGAGGCAGCATCAGGCTAGCTGGTCTACCAGGTAAACACTCCTTGCTTGGATCCAGGCTGGCTCTGCAAAAACCATCAAGGCTGGGAGAATGTCTGTGCTCACTCTTTGGGGGCATTTGACTTATTTCACTTGTCTTCAGTCAGCAAGAAGGGAGCTCTGCCATGAGGAATACCTTAATCACTCGGTAAGCATTTCTTGTGTGCCTACCAGAAGCCAGGCTCTATGCTATGCACTGGAAATGTGTTGGTGCACAAAACCCAGCACCTGCCTTATTCACTGGGGGGAGAAGGACAGTGGCGATTTTAGGTGGTGCAATAATTAACAGGGAAATGAGGGAACTGGGAGTGCAAAGGGTGGGACTGGACCCACCACAGCTGGAGGTCATTTTCTGGAGCTTTGGGATTTATGAGAAAGCGGCACAGCACACCCACAGAGGGAGTGGGGGCTGGCGTCGCACCTCTAGGCTTGAATGCTTCACTCTGTCACCTTCTTGCTATGGAGTCTTGGCCAAGTTACCTAGCACGTGTTCCCTCACCTGTGACGTGAGGATGGTAGTCACAGTGTGCTCCTTCTCCAGCGTGTTGTGAGGAGTAAACGAGGTGATTAATGACAACATGTTACCAAGAAAGGATCATTTAGGCATACTTACCGGCGGGTGCTAAGTGCCTAGTGTACTAATGAAGACTGTGTATTGGTTTGCTTGCTGTTCCTTAACCCCTCTCCCCTTATAAACTCCAGAAGGCAGAGGCTTTAGTTTAACTCACAGTCTTATGCCCAGCACCTAGCTCCTGTCTGACACAAAGGGCTCCTCAATATGTAAGGAATGAATAAACTAAGTAATACGTAAGCAGCCAGTGCCACTACCTTCCTGGAATCTGAAGTCTCAAGAACTGTTTTTCAAACTTGGCTGCACATTAGAATTACCTAAGGAGATTTCTGAAAACCCTGTTGCCTAGGCCCCATGGTAAGTATTATTGGCTGGCCCACCGCAGGATCCAGGCATTGCCAGGGCTTCTCAAGGTTCCTGTGTGATGCTCTTGCACACCTGTGACCCAGCAAAACAGGCTTCCAGAGGCCACTGGAAGGCAGGGAAGAGGCATCGTCAGATCTGTTTTACAAAGTCAAGAATGGCTTAGGGAAGACGATGAAAATGAGGTCACAAGATGCTACTGCTCTTGGAAACCAAACTCTCAATAGTGCTTGACTACTGACTTAAAATCTCACTGAACAAAGTATACCAGGCAAAATATACTTCCAAACAGGATTATTTGAAGTAAAATAGAACTGCTTTCACACTGGGCAAAAACAGGAGAAAATATTGTTTTAATTGTTCCTATTTTACAGCATTCTACCCACTTGCTGACAGCCAGGACCCTTTGTTTATATCTCAATATATCGGGTAATTGGTTTCTTTGGAGAGTTGTACTTTAATTAAATTAATGTCCTAGCTTCTCTCTTAAAGAAGAGAAAAGCAAGGCAGAGAGAGAGGCGACCCTCAGAGGAGAATACAGTGCCAACGTGTCACATCTACCTGAGTCTTAATAAGGGCTTGGCAGCTTTGGTGAGGAAATCTGTTTCCCTCACCAGCGCTCATAAGTAGCATGAGGCCTGTGAGGAAGGAAATAGGAGCTAATCAGAGCCAGAGTTTTTCACTGCCTCTCAGCGGGTCTGGTTCTGGAGGTGAAGCAACTGCGTGGGTCAGGTTCACGGCTTGCAGGGAGGACAGAGAACTAATTGGGCAAAGTCTCCTCGGAGAGATTCTCCAAACAGAGCGGTGAGCCCATCTTCCTAATTGCTAGCTTGCTAGGGAGACTTGTTCGTTCCAACTTTTCCTACTTTAAAGGGAGAACGACAGCAAATAGGGTGTTGGTAGAAATGACAGAGAAATAAGTACCTGTCTGAGAGCAGAAATGGACAGATGTCCGGCACAGGAGGGGTTGGCGGCCGGAGCTTGGCCAGGGCCATGATGTGCTCAAAGGTGATGTCGGTCTGCGTGCTGGCGTGCCTGAGCTGTACTTCCGGGACCGTCCCATAGGAGGCTCTACTGAGAGGCGTCCGCCTTAACACCTGCACCACAATGGGCTCCTTGGCGTTTCGAAAAGCTTCCACTGCCTCTTCATGGGTGGCCTTGGAGAGATCCTTTCCATTCACCTGTGGAGAGAGGACATCACTCATCTCAGTGGGAAGAACGGAGGGCTATCGCGACAGATGAGAAAGCTGGAGAGGGAATAGTTCAACCAGCTGATTCCTTTTCTAAAGGAATATTTAACGTTGACATCTATTGAACTGTTCACCAGCGTGAGGCAGTGAAAGAATTAGAAAAACAATTACCTTTGTATCTTTATGAACTATCTGGGGTCGATTAACAAAACACCATCAGAATTACTCTTCATTCAAATTTAAATTCAAAGTTTAAATGGCATGTCAGCCTCAGAAGATGACCACCAAAATCTTCAGATGGGCAGAAACATAAAGTATATCTCCCTCTCTCCCCCAGCACTGGGACTCGAACCCAGAGCCGTAGCACTGAGCTATATCACCAGCACTATTTTTACTTTTTATTTTGAGGCAGGGTCTCACTAAGTTGCTGGGTTGTGACTCAGACTTGTGATTGTTTTGCCTGAGTCCCCTGGAGTGCTGAGATGACAGGCACATGCCGCCACACCTGGCTCAAGCATATCCTTTTAAAAAATGAGCAACCAGTATCTTGGTGATATTTTAAATATTTCATCAAAGTCTTCCTTGCCTGAAACCTGCTTTTAAAGGATAGTGTCAAATTTCCTTCATATTCCTCATCCTTTTATTCAAGGCCATGGGGCTGTGCACATGCATTGTATCCTATGTCATCCCAATTCCAAGTGTGGTGTGTGGGTCAGCAGTGCCTGCGGCATTGAAGGGAAGGTTAGATACGCAGAACCCCTGGTTCTGACTCCACTGAGTCAAAACTGTCATCTTAACATGTTCCCAGCAGACATGTGGGACACAAAAACAGCCCTGCTCTTAGCTCCTCTGACAACACATGCTTGGGAGTCTCTTTGGATCCTTTGCTGTTTCAATTTATACCAATTCATGACTCTCCCAGTTAGTTGGCTTAGGACACTATCGAGAAAGAGGTGGAGTTTGCCTCTGTCCTTGGCATGTAGAGGAGGAAAAAATATTATTCTTTTCATGGGACCCTCCCACCCCGGTGTGCTAAGGGCCAGGAATATTTCCCATCCTATGTAGCAACTAAAGCACCTACACACTTTTTTTGACCCTTTCTCAGGGGTAATAAAGATGGCTATCAAATAGTTATTAATTTATTCCATTAAAATAGGCCCTGCTAACGCAGTCTTTTATTGAAAGTTGTGCTTTAGTAAAGGACTAGAGAATCCTGAAATAGTTCCATGACTCCCACCCTAAATGAATTAATAATGTTGGCTTTTGCAAATATGAGGATATAATTAGTGGCACAATGCCATGTCCAATATCCTGGAAATTATACCATTCCTGGACACCTAACTAAACTACCCATTTTGTGGTGAAGCTCTGGTAACTGCTACGCACTAGCAAACCCTTAAGATATCCCTGGGTGCCTAAAAAAGAGGGAAAAGAAATCTCCGAGTTGCAGTTGAAGAACAATTGCTGACATTCAAACGAGCACATTCTCTCCCCCTGAGTAGACAAAGAGTATGTGCCTGCTCAGCACAAGTGGGGGGGCCCTTGGGGGTAAATGAAACAATGCCAGGTGGAAATCGTCACTTCATGTAGAGACAGGTTTAATGAACCAGAGGAGCTAATTTACTCAACGGCCCCTGAAAGAGTCAATGTGCCTTCAAAAGATGAGCAATTAAGTCTCCACAACTGTAAAATATGCCCCAGTTCAGTTCCTGAATCACTAGTAAGAAACTTCAGTTGGAGATCACTAATCTGTGATTTTACTTCTTATTTTCAACAGGGACTAAATTTGAAAAACTGTCACTGAATTTTCATGGACAAAATCTTGGCGTGTCTACTTGGGCATAAGGGATATGTGGATATGGGACACCTATGGACATCACTGTTTATTTTGGAGCTCCTACTGGATGTTTGGTGTCTGTGCTACAGCAGGGTTCCCTGGAGGTACAGTTATCAGAGGGTAAAACAGAGACTAGAAGGGGAAAACACAACCTAAAACCTAGCCCTTCCTGTTGAATGGTATCATCCCCACCGTTTCTGACTGTTGTCAGTATTTGTAAATTCCAGATCACCGGAGATGGTCAAGTGTGGGTTATGAGAATCTATGTAATAGGTAAGATTTGTCTTTTGTCCCCAGCCTTTACTTAATAATGTCCTCTGAAATCCATGAAGACCCACTCTCGATGTTTTCCATTACCCTTCTCTCTCTAAAAAAAAAGCTCAATCATAATCTGTTACCAACCACTTAACAGCTATTGGAACTATGTCAATAAGTACCCTCTTCCTATAGGAACAACTTTTAACAGTGGCAGAGTGGAATAAACGAATGCTGCTTTTTGAAGAAATATTAAACAATGCCAGAAAGTAAAGAGAAAATTTCACGGCCAGGATTTCTTCCAGTCACACTTTAGATGCTACTGGTTCATAAACTGTGTCAAAGTACCGATAGACAATGCCATTCATCTATCTTGTCTATGTGTTAATCTGGTCTTGAGGTTAGGGATGCTTATTTGTTTAGTGACCTTCAGAGCAAAATTAAATTTTTACAAAGTGAGTTTTAAAAAAAATTTTTAAAAAGTGATTTTTACTACAAGTAATGATCATTTATTTTGTGTTCCTATATGGTAAGATTATTTTTGACAAATTCAGACTATACAATAATTTCTGCAGAAACATAAAAATTACTGAAAAATATTTTAGGTGGTGAATCATTAGGTTTTATTGCAATATTTAGCATATGCAGACAATATTAGCGTTCATACAGTAAGATCAATAGCAATTGATTCTATAGCCTGGAGATCCATTTATTTACAATGATGGCATTTATATGCAAATTTCAGTCTTTGCTCTATGGAAAGTCAATATAAACTTAAAAAAGGACAGTCACTGTAATCTCGAATATCTCCCTTCTCTGTTGGGGAATGCTCTTTTCTCCCAGTTACCACCCGGCTGACCTCTATTTTCATAAGCTATTTAATATCTCTCAAAGTAAAGAAGTCTGTGACCTTTAAAGGCTCCACAACCCCACGTGGTCCCTCAGAAAATGTAAGCACTGTTAATACTAAACACTCTTTTTTTTCACTTCACTTGAAGTTCATCAACCTAGTGTTACCCTACCAAAAGGTCACCATTTTATAAATTATGCCTCTCACAACAGAAGAAAGAAGAGATTAATTAGGATTTTCTGGCAGCTGCTTTGTTCAGCTGTTTTCAGTTATGGCTATAAAAAAGTAACATTAGAAGTCTACCTAAATTTAACCCTACAGGAAAATTCTGTAGTGAGTCAACAAATAAATTAGTGGCAAAAGTTCAACTTTTTTTTGTTTTCTTTAGGCAGTTAGCTTCTAAACCAACAGCAAGGAGTTTGGTATTTCACGGTTCCATATCCGTATCATTCTGCTTACCTCTATATTTTCTCCCTCCCTCTCACCCCTGTCTCAAAACTTAGATTTAGTTTAACATATAAGTTTTGTTTGTTTTATGAAAGAAGACTGGCAATGGAGAAGCCTTCTATTAAAAGTGTCCCAGCCTGGCGTGGTGGCGTATGCCTGTAATCCCAGCACTCTGGAGGCTGAGGCAGGAGGATCGTTGTGAGCGCAAGACCAGCCTGGGCTACAAAGTGAGCTCCAGGCCAGTCCTAACTGTATAGTGAGATCCTGTCTCAGAAACAAAAACAAAAAAACAAAAAATAAAAGTGTCCCACTTAGTTATTAAAGTTGTAGACCAACCTTTCTTGGCTCAGGAGAAAGTGGGAGTGCTTTTGCTAGAGGAATACAGGGAAGGTGATTTTCATGACAAAAAGAATGGATAAATATGGTTGGGAGCAAATTTGATGGAAGCAGGTGATTAAAAACTACCCATATGTTATGGATTTAGGGTTAGGGTTAGTTTAAAATTTACATGCAGAAGAGTTTTGGGAAAGATGGAAGTTTGATTTAAGGATGCTATCGAGAAAGAGAGTTTTTTCCAAAGGGGTCATTAAACAGAAGGAGAGCGTAGGGTGTTCCTAAGAAACATGGACACTGCACTTTCATCCCTATAACATCTGGCATGTTGATAACTGTAGCCCAAGTTGATCTGAGTCTCCGGCAATGGTACAACTAGAGTACAACTGGCAAGAATCCTGTGATTGATATGTGTTAAGAACGGAACTGTCCTAGAGAGAAAAAATTGGATTATCAAAAGGTGATTAAGCCACCTGACTTGAAATCAGTGAGAAGGCAGACAGACATATGATCCAAAAATAGGGCATCAGAAGTGGGAAAAGCACACAAAAAAGGAAAGAGAAATGCCAGTGAGAGAAATTCTGGGATAGTGACACGTGGTTGTCCTCAAACTAAATTTGGGATGGGAAACATGTGGCAACAGTGATCTTAATCACATCAAACTTGAAGCAGTCTCAAGATGTACATTCAGGTGAAGTCACAAGTATACCTGAGACAGGAGGCTAAAAGGAAAATGGATGGCGGGAGTTTTTCTAAGGTCTTCTCTCCCCCTGCACCTACTAAGTCAGTCAGTCCTATATAGACACATACCCTTAAAAACTAGATATTAAAGTGATGGCTGGCAATAAACATCCATCAGTTTTGAAAGATATGAAAAATAGGTGCCTTGTTTCTAAAAAAGTTATTATTTCCAGTATACTGAATAGCGGGGAGACAAGAAAAAGTCACTTTTCAGCAATCAGTGCTAAAGACGTGTGAATACATTTGTTGTGACAGATGGGCTAATTAATCCATTGCAACTTCTGAATGTTAACTAAAGAATACAGCCTTTCATGTGTAACCCATATTTCAGCAATGTGTGACAAAGCTTCTATTTAACAAATAATCTATCCTTTTGGATACACTGCGAACCCCTGGGCCACTCATCATGTCTTCCCCAGTGACTGGTAGCCACCGCTCTGATGTGAGCTGGTTCTCTTCCATTATTAGTTCTCCGAATGCAAGTACATGCAAAGTTGTCTTGAATATGAGCAAACAGCAGACCCCTCC